GGCCAGCCCCTATTAAGGGGACAGGGACACTTTCTGAGTGTGCCAAATGGTCAAATAAACCCTATTAAAGGAACACTTAATTTTTTTTTTTCATTGTACCATGAAAACTACTGTACAACTGTCTCAAAATAAAAATAACTCATTCAACTTTATACTTTGAACAATAACCAGAATTTTCTCCCCTGAATCCTTATAGTGAATATCAGTATAGGTCTACTGCATGTATTAATTCGAATAAACCAATCTTGTCAATTCTTTTTCTTCATTGTTCGCATGTATACAATTCTAATCCATAAAATAACATGCACCCATAATTCCAAGTTGTTGCTCTATTCATGCTACATCCATCCAACAGAAGGCTCAATATTTAAAAAAAAAAGAATTTGGTCACAAACCCTGCATAGTGAAATAATTTTGGGAACTGTTGTTTTAATTACATTTTTGCTTATTTTATATTATAAATGTATTGTAATTGCATTGCAAATTATTGCTTTTAGTTCTTCAGTAATTCTACTGTGACCGTAATATGTCAATAACAAATAAAATTAAAAAGAATGTATGGCATTGTTATGAAAACATGCCAAAATCCTTTAAGTGGACAATTTCACGTGGTATCCCCCGAATAGGGGACACCCCTATTAAGTGGACACTTTTTTTGGTCCAAAATGTGTCCCCTTAATAGGGATTCTACTGTATACAGTAGTCTGAATTACAGCCGCTACCAGCTGCTCCAACATAGTTCTAATAAACTTACATGTTCTTCTACTGGTTCAGTGAATTCAATTTTTGGTAACGGATCACCGCTTGGATCAATACGCTGCAGTCTCAGCGAACGAGGGCGTAGAATAATAGGTTCTGCTGGCTTCTTCTCGCTACCAAAATTAACAATTTAACAATATAAAAATAAGTATTATTGTACTATCCATTATATTTTTCGCAAACAATTCAAAAAGAAAATCATTTTCATCAAAATAATGGTCAAATATAGGTCTACACTTTGTAAAAAAAAAAACAATGAATGGAAAATAAAAATAAACAATTTCTATACAAAGGTTTACCTCTTCAAACCGCGAGAAGATGGCTTTTTGATTTTAGGAGTCCCCATCATCATATCTTCTTTAGTTTTAAAAATTTCCAATGAAGCAAAGAACTTTTGGTTTTCTTCGATATTCTTTAGCCTCAACTTCTCGTAATCAGACAACTCTGTATGCACCTGTAAAAAAGTGGAAACAGACAGTGTTGAGTAGCTTAGTAGATCTGTTATCAGGAATTTTGGTACAGTAGAACCACTCATTTACGTACAGCACGGGCCCAGAGCCGTTCGTAAATGCGGGTATTCGTAAAATCGGGGTTGACCCAAATTCCTATATATTTGCACTGGTATTATTTACATTGGCATAAACTAGGCCTAGGATAGGCCTATAGGCCTACGCAGCTAAGTCTGAGGGGGCATATGCCTGCAGTAGGCAGCTTAAAAGCATTCTGATCCAACTCTAGGCCCTACACAAATTTGTTTTTATCGGAAGTTTTTACCTTCTTAAAGCCCCATTCCCGGCAAAATTTCTTTTTTTAAGAAAAATCTAATTTTTGTATAATGTATTGTTATAAAGATTTATAAATATAATACGGAATTGCTAGTTTAACTGAATTTAGACATTCCTAAGAATGAAAAAAATGTAAAATAAGACTGAAATGATTTTTTGTGTTCCACACAAAAAATAAATGCGGATGAATTTTTCATGTTAGATTTTGCGATAGGTCGTGAGAAGAAATATCGTTGGCGCCGAAAACATTAGCATATCCAGCGCTGCTAGGCTAGGCCTAGCCTTACCTCGATTTAGGTTCTGTTATCACACATAAAAACGGCCGACATGATATTTTCCGTTGCTAGTATTGACACTTGTGAAATATAATATTTCATAGGAATTATTTCACATTTGTTAAAAAACGACACTTAAACAAACATATCTCAGCCTTAATCGAACGACCGCATTGTGCGAGATACGAAGCACAAAAACTAATCTCATTAGAGAGGGCGCACTTTATTGACTGTATAAAAGTATACATAAAAGCGAGAGTATTCCAGTGGATGCAATCTACAACCTCTGAATTTGCCTAGTAACGATGAATTCGTCCAGAAAATGGTAATATTTTATGAGAAATAGTCTGTATTTCTCATTTTTTTTATTCTTTTGCGTAAAACTAAAATTCATGCCAATATTTTTCCATGATTTGTAATAATTGGAGTAATGCAAATGAATATTTTCTAAAAAAAGTCAGTTTTTAGTGAAATTTTGCCAGGAATGGGGCTTTAAATACCTAGATTGTGGATTTTACTCCAACACAACTTAAATAATATTTAATTAATAAAACAATCAAGCACTATGTTGACTTTTAAAGCTGAAAACGATGTTTGAAAGAGAAGTAAGATTTGTTGCATGCACATGTGTGAAGCCATAAAAAACACTGAATTTGAAGAGGCCCGTTAGAGGGCCTCCTTCACTTGGGAATTACATTGTACTGTATAGTATGGTGTGTTGTGTTGTATGCATGCTAATAACAGTTACAATTTGAGCGATTTTTTTTATTAATCTATCGCTTAAATTTTTATGACGTCATCACCTTTATTTTACGTTCGTAAAATCGGGAATTCGTTAAATCAGGGTTCGTAATTTAGGGTTTCTACTGTACTTGAAACTAACAATAAGGACTTTTCGATTTAAGTGGACGTGGACGGCTTTCACGTCCATGTGAGTGGAAAATCTGGTCAACTGGTACTGTACTTGTCCACTGGTTATCTGAACATTTCGATTTAAGTGAACGTCCATGTTGACACATCAGTGAACTTATGACCTTGTGATCTGGGGTTTCCCCGTGTTTGCGCGCGCTATTCGAATACACTGGCCGTGGTATCTTACTCAACACTCAGGTACTGTACTGTAGTCTACGCAGGTCAACATTGCAAATCTTCAACGGCTTCACGAATCCCTTAATGTTATATCCATGGGGTATTCAGGGCAGGGAGTTGTAAAAACATAAATCTCCCTGTTGAGGGTGCACCTCTCCTTCTTTGTCCAATATCCTTTTTCCTGGATACACCCGGCCTGACTGAAGGCTGGCGGCCTCGCCTAGCCTAGCCTAGGCTTAGGCTCCCTTGGCCTAGCTAATAGGCTGATTAATTAACCTAATTATCCACTGAATTTGATCCCTAATAATAGTTTGCAAATAGGACATAACTTAACCGAAATGCTATTTACTTTAACATCCCCAGTAGAATATAATTTTGCCAAATTAAGAAGCACCGCGACATCGTCCTCCATCATTCATGAATCAAAAGTTTGCAGTGATATGACGTCATACGTCTACTTGTTATCTCAGTCAGAGAGCGAACCTCAAAACTCTGCTGAACATGTTCTCAAATTTGGCAGTCGTCGTGTTAGTCGACTTGACGCATGCGCAAGTCATCAAAACTACGTCGTAGGTTATCAGTCGACATAGTGGACGTGCAAATCGAAAACTGCTTAATATACTGTAAGGTCGGCCACTCACTGAGTCGTCCGACGGTCATATGACCGTCGCACAACGAATCAATATTTGCTTCTGGCGAGCGATAGACGACGCAACACCATCTGCTGATTGTCAGTGGCAATCTGAACAGATCCTCATTAAAAAGACGATCCGTTGGGTCCACGTCTTCGTGTGTGTTCTTTGTCGCGACGCACGCAGTGAGTAACAGGCTTTAGGGATGCAAGACTCTGAGTCAGAGGCATCATGCATTTCTCTAGAGGCATCGCATAATTTTCTGGAATCATTACATATTTCCCGGAGCCATCATGCATTAAAAATATTGTCAGAGTTTCCAGATTTTACAATTTGTTTTATATGGGCAAACAAAAATAACCGAAAGCACAGTCTCATTCACTTTGAAAGCCATTTTTGATGGAGGATAATTCAAAAAGTATTTTTCTAGGCAATTATGAGTGCCGAATGTACACAAAAAGTTAATCAAGTACTGCGATTTTAGCTTTGTAGAGGAAAAGTTAGGAGACTTCGGCAGCACTTAAGCTTGCCACCAACTTTTTCAGACACCGGCATCTGGGAAAAAAATTGGTGCAATCGAGCTAACATTTTGGATATTTTTTTATAGTGAATAATGTTACACCAAACCCTGAAAATCCGAACAAAATCTAAAATGGTGATTTCCGCCATCATGTCGAATGTGCTTGAAATGACCCTGCAGGGAAAGGAGTGAGTGAGTGAGTGAGTCAGTGAGAAGGATGAAAAAAAAAATCAATACTAACATAAGAACTATGAACTTCAATGGGTTTTGGCTGAATCACTTCAATGATATTTTCCTTCTCTTGTTCTTCATTTTCCTCTTCTCTTTTTAGTTCTTTTTTCTCTTCTACCTCAGTCCTTCTAATTCTGTTTGATCTTCGCAACTCAATCTATACACAACAAGAAAGGCAAATGATTATCTAAAGGTATCCATATGGCTGAGTTATTTCAATATTTAGACCTTATTTCATTTTATATTTTACTTTAATATTGGGGTGTTTATTGTTGAGTGGGTGATTAGAGATGCGTTTACAGTATTTGTGGGAAATTTGTTTTCTTTTTGGTAAAAATGGATCATGTCTCAAAAAAATTTAATTTTACTGTAAATGAGGAACTACAAATCTACCAAAAATGTGTTATTTCGTGATCATAAAAGCTAATTGATATAATGTTATAAAAATTGCAATTCTACTGAAGTACAGCATTTATAGAATGTGTTGAGAATGATGTTGCTTCCATTAGTGTTAGTCGTTTTGGGCGTAGTTTATTCAAATAAATTCAGTATACAGTATATTTCTTTTTATTTTAAATTGATTGAAACACAAAATTCTGCTTGTTTTTTGTTTTTTGAAATTTGTATTGTATTTTGAGTTACTGATTTTGAAGATTCATGTAAATTTTAATTGTTAAATAAATAAATAAAAATAAAATAAAACATACAGTATGAACGCAAATAAATAAGTTTTCATAAATGTTTTATTACAGTACATAAAACTTTGCACTGTAAACTCCGACATTCTGGCAATACTGATTGCAAAATGACAGCAGCTCGGCGTGCTAGCAAGAATGGAATCGATATACAGTACTTAATATTTGTTGAGGTACTTTTAAGTGGTTGAATCATGTGAACATGTTTCATACCTGAACCTGAAAGATTTGAAATGCGTGACTACACCAGTTGTCCGCGGGAGGGGGCATGTGGCACCCAGAGCCACTGCTGGGGCCCAGGGGTGAAACCCTGGTGACGGTTAGGTTTCAGTCACATAATCAACGGTTGGTTGTGACAATCAGGTCTCGAATTATACCGCGGCCATTGCCGATGGTGCCCTCCCAGTTGGCATTGGTGCCCCTGAAAATGAAACACGGCGACGGCCACTACTTGCCTGCCCTTTTGAAGCCTTGGCCTCAGTGCCCTCACGATGCTTAATATAGATCGTTTGACACGTAAAATAAATCTAAGTAAGAACGCAAAACGTAGGTCGCCTTAGCTAGCCTAAGCCTAAGCCTAGGCCAGGTTGCAGTGACAGAACAGAATATGTGAGAATTCCATGTGTGTTGATACGAACTGTTTTTGTGGTTACCGTTGTGTGCGCATGCGTCTTACTCTAGCGATTATTGCAATATAAACATGGGATCATTCGACTGGTTCATTTCTTTGGAACGAATTTTCGTTGAGTATTATTTTCATTCGACTGGTCCGTAATTAATAGACTATTCGTTGACAACAAAAATTAACGTAAACCAGAGTGCGTTAATCAGCGCAAGTTATCCACGTGATCAAGGAGAAACATGGCCGATTGGTGATTTTTTTATTAACAACATTTGGGCAATTTCATAATGCAGAGTGATTTTTTGTAATTTTTCATACTTATCAAATCCCATCAAGTTTGTTATCAAACTAAAGCTCATTTTATATAGAATTAAGATCTAAAATCAATATTTTGGTATTTCAATGGTGAAATGTGAAAAAAATGATCCAAATACATAGTATTTTTAAATTTTAAAATATAGTAAAAAATAGCTTACTTAAATGCAATTATTATGCAGAATGTATATGTTGGAAAATTCTAAATTCATGTTATTTTACAAAAGAATAGGTACTATTATCATTTTTAAAGGTGAAAATTATAATTTTTAAATAATAAATTATTTTTTTTGTTTTTAAAAAAATTTGGTTAATTTATGTGATTCCGCTACCAAAAAAGTGATTTTTTTTTTAATTTCTCCAAAAGTATTGATTTTTCAAAAATGAAAGTACAGGTGATAATAGACTACTGATAGATGTATCAGAAAATAATAGGCTTTAAATAAATTTTATTATATATTTTTAGAAATAAAGGTTTAAAAAAACGTGATTCCGCTACCAAATGTAGTATCGGAATGACGTGTATTTCCGCTACCAAAATATGCTACCCACTAAGATAGCAACAAAATTCAACTTCTTTTCCAAGTATTAAATGGATTAACAAATTTCAATGGTTAAATGATACAAATAAACAATAATTAAAGCTTGGATCAACTTTGTTGTTCAAATGCAAGTTTAGGTATGGGAAAAGGGCGAGGTGTACTTTTCTCAGAAACTACATAAAAAATGTGCTATATAAATAAAAAATAAAGAATAAACCATACTGGATTCTTTGGAGTTTGTATCATGCTACTGTTGTTAAATTACCAATACTGTACTGTAGTACTAAAGTAGTAGTTTTTTTTTTTTCTATCTTTTCCCAACTCAAAAAATTACCTCTTTAATATATACATTTTTTTTTAATGTATGGCCTCTCAAATCAATTAAATAACACCTGTAAATGCTTAGAATGCTGGAGCTTCCAGGGTTTTGGCCCTCGACCCATCGGGGGCCCTTGGCAGCCCCCTGGCCCCAGCCAATGGTGCTCGCAAGTGCCCTTTCAGTATCAAAAAGAACCCCCCTACCAAAATCCTGGCTACAGGCTTGAATATACTTAAGAATCACCAGTAAATTATAGCAATATTCCAATGTCATTCCGCTACTGTCATTCCGCCACCATAATTAAATTCATAAATGATATTATATATTTGATTAAGTTAAATACTTAAACAACTAAATTTCTCAGAATGTTTTTAAGTATAGATAGGCAAACTCTAGACTAAAAATATAATGTTATTGTGTTTTGGTAATTATAGTATAAACAATCCAATATTTTTATTAATTTTCATAATTTTTATAATTGTGTTTGAGACTTGATAAAGTAAAATAAATTTTGTTTCAAATACCAAGTGAATTGCTTCAGCATTGTTTTCATAAAAAGTGAAAGATTTTACATTTAGTCAAGAAGGTTCTTCATAAATATTAATTTGCACTTTTATCAATGGTCATTCCGCTACTGTGATTCCGCTACCAGACATGGTCTTATATTTTTATAAATATCTCCAAAACTATAAACATTTTTAAAAATCAATGTTTTGCATTCAATACTACACTAAATTATGATAAACTGAGATGTATTCAATTTTTAAATCACTTTCATAAATCAGAGGGTTTTAGTAAAATGTGAAGTGGTAAAAATAGAGGGTATTTTTTTTTGTTTTTCCGCTACCATACATATTTTTTGATATTATATCAAAATTGTGATAGGTTTTTAAAAAAAACTAGGGTAGAAATTATAGATGGATTCCATAGTTATGTAAATATGATAATTATTCCAAGAATTAGAATGGAGTGTAAATATGACATTAGATTAAAGTTAAAAAGTTCAGCAAAATAGTGATTCCGCTACCATGAAATTGCCCATTTGCGTTAATATAACTTAGATTATATTTCATAAAATAAACATAATATTTACCAACATGGATTCAAAAAATTATTGTAGGCAAACAGAATAAAAACTTGATGAAAATATTTCTTTTTACGAATAATCCATACTACCACAAGTTGAAGCAATCTTGATTACGCGACGTGTATCGCGGTAACTATACAGCCATTTTGTTTTGTCGAGTAAAAGTTTTCTATTTGACTGGTCATCTTCGTTGATTAGGATGATACTGCCGCGCAGGTGGGCGTGGTTTAACGAAGAACGACCAGTCGAATACGGCCTTTGTATAGGTTGTAAACATGTGCTTGCTGCACAGCTAACTTTGGGCGATCTTACGTCATAACAGCTTTCGCGGCCAGTTTAGAGTTGTGGCTTCCTCTCCGATGACAACAGACTGAGGAACAACACAAAGATATCGAAATTCTTGAAATTTGACTGTTTTGTACAATCGCCGACTGCCGCAGTATATTCCAACATTGAATCGATAATTAATAGTTAATACTCTAAACAAAGTCATATTACTATTGACAACTATGGCTTGGCTAGGCCTAGCTTGGCTTGGCCTAGGCTGGCTACGACGAATCAAGGCACTCGCGAGAAATTAGTACTGAGGCTAAATCAAATTTTGCCTTGGGTGCCCTTTTATACTTGAAATTTTGGCCTTGGTGCCTTTCCATTTGGCCTTTGTGCCTTTCAAAATCATGTCAGAGTCATACCGAAGGCCATTTGGCCTTGCCCATAAAATCCCCAAATTCGAGGCCTGGACAATGAACTACTAGCCATGGAAAGTGCGTGGTTGGCTTAGTTAGTTTGGTCAAAAAAGTTAACTTTTCTCAGTGAATTGATTCTCACAAAAGCTCCTACTAACATTTTTATATTTATTCTTTATCACGCATTATAGGCCTAGACTTGTGCTAAATGCATGACAAATTTAAATTCATGTAGCATGTGTTTCTACAAAATGCGTGTTTCATACAAAATTTGATGATTTAACTATGATGTTTGATAAATATGTTATGAATGTAAGAACATTTAGATAGGCCTAGCTAGGCCTATTCTATAAATAAATTTTAGCATGAAAATTTAAGTGCGAAAGTGCATTAGCGCCTTAGGTAAGCTCAAAAGTGATAGAGGGCGCTCTAGATTATCGATACGGAAAACGGGATAGGAAATAGTTCCCGACAGAGAATAGGATACCCACATGTATTACGTAGTTTGATATCGTTAAATTATACCCGAACTACTTTCAGACAACCTCCATTAATAATACTGTATGTCAACAAGGCTATGTTTTTTTTAAGCGCGAGATTCGGTTCTGTAGAAGTTTTTTAAGTACTATGAAAGTTTCAACGTTTATAAAGAATATTAGAAGTTCTTTACAAGCTTTTTCATTACCTTGTCGGTTTTCTCCAGATATTGAAATATAAAGTAAGAAAGATTTTCGAAACATTAGCGTAGCTAATAAAAGTTATAGATTACTGAAAATATATTGCTTCGTCGCCTAGCGGGCCTAGGCCAAGACCCGACAATTGTGAGGGCGCCCTCGTAAATTTTTTACGCCTAGTCGCGGCGAAAGCATGGTTTCCCCGCTAGCTGCAGTGGTGCCTAAGCCCATGATTTGGGCCTAGCATTCGTAAACTTGTATCACAGGAATTGTCAAGTGTATGTATATTATATAATATATATAATGTCGAAAACTAATTTTTATTGGTTTTTTTAATTGTATATTCATATATTTTTCAGCCTGACCCGTCTATTTTACTTATTTAAAAAATAATAATATTAATTTTTATTATTATTTTATTATTATTATTATTATTATTAAATTTTGATGTTTAGTATTGACCTTGGGCCTATATTCATATAGTATTGTAAATATTTAGTACGTTTATGATAATGTTCCTTAATTCAAAATGGCTTGAAATAAGGCATATTTACACTGTACGGGACACAAACTTCATACAATAAAAACAAAAGGAATTAACTCCAACAAAATTAGACGACATTAATTTTGCAATATCTTCGCTAATAATGGTCCGATTTACATAATTTTGGTCTTGAAATGCTTCAATTGATTGCCTTATTCTTTACACAGTGGTTTGAAGAACATAACATTTAAAATAGGCCTAGTTCTATTTTTTTGTTTCTAGCTAGGCTAGGTACCTATAGCCTATAAAGTTCTGTCCTTTAATATTATGTAAATTCTAGGCTAGGCCTACTAGGCCTAGGCTAGCCAGGCCAGTCAGGTACCAGGGTATCGGCAGCAAGGCCTACTATAAGCTATACCAGACCTAGCCAAGGCCTAGCTATGAAATGTATAGGCCTAAGTAGCCCTCGGGTAGGCTTAAGCCCTAGCCTGGCCTATCCTAGGCAGCCTATGGTTTAATTTATTATTAAACGTAGCTTAGAAGATATTTGTGAAACGGCCATATGTTACCTTTCTCTTTTTCGGATCATACATGTCTTCATCTACATGCTTACGTTTTGCCTTTGCATTCACAATACCAATCATTATTAATAAAATGTATGAAAGCAAAAAACAACCTTCTCATAAAAACAAGCTTTCGCGCTGTTCAGTTAACCGCGCAGTTTGTTTGTCTTGCATTGCGCCACCAGTAACATTAAATAGACAAATCTTGTTCCCGAGTATTTTTGATTCGATGGTATTCAAATCGTGATGCTTTTCTAAACAAGTCACTCACTTAATAAATTCTTTATGCAACGCTACCACAATAGTGTAGGCCTACTCACTTTTACTCCAGTCTCCTGACATGCAGTATTTTCTTTATGGGTAGCTTGCAAATTGCTTCTATTTTCTCAATGATTTTAGTGTTTTTCTTGTATGTTTTTTTTTAATCTTTTTGACGACTTTTGAATGTTATTTTATTAATTTTCACTACAGCACTGTTTACTTTTTTATCTAATAATTTAATTGATTGCAATAAATATGAACTTGAATTATTACACTATATTTATAAATACGATAAGTACAGTCTGATACAAGGCCACCTAAAATTTCACCACGCTATTTTATTAGGTAAGTATTCTTCTTATTCCAGTACATCCTTCGAGACGAGTAGGGCGGTACCCCGGTGTACTGGAACAGACAACCCATGTGGTGGACGACGAGAGTTGCTGGTACCTGGTTGCCGGGTAGCACAGACACGAAGGGACCCTTAGGGGCGAAGAAAGTCAATGATCGAGTTCTTAGTCCACATATCAAGCGCCCTGAGCATCTTACATTTGATGGATATGTGCGCTAAAACTACACTATTATTTGTAAGCTTCGACACTCATAGCAACCACAACTTGTCTTCTAGGGTAGCAGAAATTACTCTGGGCATAATAAGTCCGGTCGATCGGCGAGAGACTGAGTGTATCGGCTTGATACAGATATCGATTTACTTAGTACATTACAGATGACTTTATACTTATAACCTGTATTTGTTTGTGTAAAACCATGCACAAACAATTGTTTGCTCAAGTCAATCATGCAACAACAATGTCTATTAAGCGGCTACATCATCGATGTTCATTTATATACGTACATCATAAAAAGAAAAAAAAATCGTTAACTGTTCCCAAAAGAATTAAAACCTAATTATAAATCGTTATTTACATTAATAATTAAACGTCCTTTGAAATATAGTAGGTATATAGTAAACCTATATATAGCACTATTATAAACTAACGATCCGATATCGATATGATTGTTGGTTGGCAGATAAACGTAACATTAATGCCGTAACTTTGATGAAACTATAAACTAAATAGGTAGTATTACTGTCTTGTATGATGTACGACTACGTATTGTGATATTAGTAAATGGTAAATTATGTTTCAAACCTTGATTTTAGTGTACAGTCTTACATTGTTCAGATTTTCATCTTCCGGTAAGTGAATTTTCATTTAAAAAAGTATAAACCTACTTATCTAATTTGAAATTATCTGAGAGAAGTGTTTAGTTTTGAGTTGAAATGGAATCAATCCTCGCGTTCTATGTTTGTCTATCCACTACATTAATTAGGGAATATAAACTGTGATAATTGTTGATGGGCCAAAGATGTCATGGTAAGAGAAATATGCCCTTATGTTAATAAATAATAATAATAGTTGGATTTTTAGAGCGCATCATGCGAAAAAGCCTCTATGCGTTTGGTGATTCAGCTCTTTGAGTTGGACATTTTGAGAAAAAAGAAAGTTTAAGTTATTTTATGAAACTAAAAAAACCTACTCCTTAAATTAAGGCATGGTTGGCCGTTGGCTCCGAGGAGTTCATCCGCCCTTTGTTCAGCTGTTTTTTTCTTGTTTTTTTTTTTTGTTTTTTTTTTTTCGTGCTGCTGGGTGTCCATCCACCCTCCCATCAAATTACCACCTATAAAATTACAGCCATTAAAATATGGAATTCACTTTCTTTTTCAGTTCAAAGCACACTCTCAAATCAAGTATTTCAACAACAAAAAAATGTAAAGAATATTATAATTAAATTTTAAAATTAAATAATGTTTAACGTTGTTTTGCAATTGAATTCTTTGTATTGTATTAATGTTTAATTTATTGTTTCTTATTCTGTATTTTATATTTAATATTTTTGGACCACAATGGACGATTTTTTTTTATCCAATAATACTATTTTTGTATTCATAATAAAGATATAAATAAAAATAAATAAGTACAAAAATGTTATTAAAATATTGTTTAGAATCCTGTAATAAGCCTCTTGGGCTTGAAGATGGAACAATTCCTTCAGAAAAACTGACAGCATCTTCGGAGTATTCACATGTCTTTGCGGCTCATCTTGCCCGACTAAATGATGCCAGGGGATGGATAAGTAGTAACAACCAACAACAATGGATTCAAGTTGAATTTTCTTCTCCGTTATGGGTAACCGGATTGATTACGCAGGGCCGGGGAGACTATCCCCAATGGGTGCGCTCATACGAAGTTCACTACAGTCTTGATGGAGACACCTTTACTACAATCATGGACGCCGGTGCAGTTGCAGTAAGCTTTAATGGCCGCATTCGACTGGTCTTTCTTCGTCGAACCGCGCCTGCTGCTTGTGCCTAATGGTACTCGACAAAACGAAATGACAGCGTAGATACTGCGATACACGCTAGCGTGAGCAATATTGCTTCGGCTAGTGGGAGTATACGTTTTTCGTTGCAAAAAAAAGAAAAAAAAATATTTTCATGCAGTTTTTGGATTCTGTTAGCCTACCATTTCCACGATTCTATGTGGGTAAATAAAATTGTCATTTTTTTGAAATTTAATCTAAATTATACTACCACAATGTTGTTGGTAAATTGACCAATCAGCCATGTTCTGGTCACGTGAATAAATTATTGCAAATTAACACACTCTTGTTTGCGTTAATTTTTCCTTGTCTACTTTACGCACTACCGAATTAAAATAATACTCAACGAAAAATCGTTTTTAACGTAAAGAAACCAGTCAAATACGGACAATATTTTATTATTTCTTCATGCTGGTGAATAGGGATCATTTGATTTGTGCGACGACTTTACTCAAGAACTGATTTACTTTTTCTCTTCTCTGCACACCGCAGATTCGGGCCAAATTGTGTCCTCGTTATCTTATCGACAACAAGAACTCACAGTTCTCCCTAGACTTGCCACAAGTCTCTTATTTTTTTATTATTTTTCTCATTCTGGACAGCGCCACCAACGAGAAAGTTAATTTATAGACGGAATAAGCTAATTCGAAAAAAAAAGAAATCGAGTATGGGACGCCAATTAAATTAGGTATGGCGCGCACTAAGTGCAAAAAAGAGTGAGTACCCTAAAATTAGGGCCTGGAACCCAGGCTAAGTTCTCCCACGCGCAGATGACTTCTTATTGACGTCTTATACGTCCAAAACCATACCGTCGTCCTGCACTCAAAAGCTCTCCATTGAACGTTAATTATTTAATTGTTTCTTAGCTCTTTTATGTAACTTCTTTTGAAAATTTGTTCAAGCGTATTGAGACATAGTATTAGGACCTATGAGCCACATCTACATCCATTACCGGTACCATTGAAATGCAATATAAACTAGGCTAGCATTTAAAAACACCTGAAGCATGCAATATCAAATTGAATGCTGTAAAATAAGTGTTTTAACCTATTTGTTTTTTTTAACTGTCAAATTTATAATGTATTTCATATTGATAATAGTCAATTAATGTTTCGCTAACTATAACACATTGTTCTGTTTTTTATGATTTGAAACCCGATGAAAATTAATAAGCATGACTATTATCATATAATATTTATCATTAATATTTTCACCACTTTATTAATTTTATTGATAATAATTAATTGTAAATTATTAAGATTATATTGTCTTCCTAATCTGTATAGAAACATATCTGCAAATGAATAATTTATCAGCTATCGCTTGATTTATTGTGCCGAACTTGTATTTATTTTGCTATTTGTTGCACTTCTTTTAACAAGGTGTTTAATGCCAACTCAGACCATGACACTGCCGTAACAAATATGTTCCCATCCAGAGTACGCGCCAAATTTATCCAAATTCATACAACCATCTGTCATGATCGTTGCAGCTTAAGATTTGAAGTTCTTGGATGCTCACGTAAGTTGATAGAATACTTATTTTGAGATACAAATACAGAGAATGCATTGGTTTATTCTGACGAGGTAAGATTTACCCCATATGAGCATGTACAAAACTTCCATAAAGACTAGCATAACGATAGTAAACTAACCACAGAACTGGGTCAGAAGTGCCAGATCAGTGAGCTTTATCATGGTACAGTTAAAAAGTTGTTTGAAAATGACACAATCGTTTGCCTCTAGTAGCACTTTCAAATACTGTTAGAAAGACGAATGACACCTTAATGACCTTTGACTTCAAATCTATGACACAACATTATTCATCTATCAAAACTGTTAAACCTGATCAGCCAGTAGCCGAACATTTCAAATCAGCTGGTCATTCAATTTCAAATTCCCGAGTTATTGCAATAGACTAAAATGTCAAAATCTATTGCACTGAAAATTATAGGTATGAACGTGATTATGAACTACACTGTTAGATAAGGTAGCATGTTGTAATAAAACACCTATCTGTTTTACCAGTATAATCATGGTTACATCCAGAACATTTAAAATGGTACACTATACCGAACTCATAGAGAGTAGTATCTTTTGTGAAAGTGAAGTAAGAAATTTTCTTAGTCTTCCATAAAGTAATACATTTAACATCCTTTGTAAGATTCCTTTTAACTTTAGTAATCATTCTGCTTAGACGTATTTCTCAGTGTCGACCAATATACGGTACATGTATAAGTATATATATATATATATATATATATATATATATATATATATATATATATATATATATATAT